TTTTTTTTAGTGTAGTTAAAATGGTTCACATGTGCTTACTATCTGAATTTAAGGAGGACAGCGACTCTCATCAGGCTCTGGATAAATAAAGCTAAAGAGATTGAATGTTAATTCTCCTTAAACCAGACTAAGTCACCACTGCGTCTTACAGATGATGTCAGACCCAATGTCTCACAGTTTGATCTTAATTTAATCTGGATCAATATTCCTCTTCCAGTCCTGCTTGTGTTTATTTTCCACCAGCAGCATTTGGTGTCACTAAAACCTTTCTGCTGTATCACAAAGTGAGTGGTTTCAGGGCAGTGGTCCCCGTATACCTCATTAATATTGCATTCCAATATTGGATCTCATGCTTTGGTTTAAGTGACACACCAGTAGAAGCAAGATGAGATGAAAACATAAAATCCCACTTTAAGCAGTAACCAATAACCATATTTAAGGTCTAATATGACATTCTGGAAACCACTAGTACTTCTTTACTTTCTTGCTGAAAGATAGAAGAGAGGACCGATCTCACGTCTGTCTGAGAGCTACTCTGTAATCAGCAGCAGAAGTTTTACATAGAACAAAAACATGACACACCCAGAGTCTACAAATAAAGTCATGAAGTCTTGCTGTTCTTTACCATACATATGTCGGAGTGGTATCACTCTTCAGCTTTTGTGAAGAATGTGAAAAATTGTTTTAGGATTGAGTAAATCACATTATTATATTATAATTGGTATTGTAATACTACAGATACAAATCTGGGAGAAATTAAACAACTTTTTTTATGTTGACGAAGAAAACAAGATATCACTGTGCACTAAATATTTCACATAAAGGGACAGACCTACAACACTGAGGCTTCTACTTACATTTAATTTCATTATTGACTATCCTGTTGATTATTTTCTACATGAATCAATCAGTCCTCATGTGAAAACCAAGGTTGTGTTTCATTGGACCAACAGTCAAAAATCTAAAGATATTCTCTCTATGATAGTATCAAACACATGAGCAGCAATCTCCACAGTAGCAGGGACCAGATGTGTTTTCCTTGTTAACTCAATTAATCACTGAAACAATATAACGATTGATTATCAAGACATTTACAGATGAATTACCAGTGGACCAGCTTATCAATTATCCGACTAATTGTTCCAGCTCTGTCCTCATACTAGAAATGTTTGCATCCTCCTGGAATTCAAATAATGGAAACCGAGCACATACATCAGTGTTTGTGGTGAGGAGCTGATCACTGGGTATAGACTTGTTATGCGATTCACACATGACTTGGAAGCTGCAGGAGCTGGCACTGTGTCTAAGCAGTGCTCATTTCTCCTTCTCCAACTGATTAAGACCAATCCAGCGTTAACCCCATCTTGGCTTCCTCCTTTGCAGGATTACTGTGAATTTGTTGTTAATGACTGACTGTGGTGTGTGTATGTGTGTGTGTGTGTGTGACTGGTGACTGGTGACTGGGGGCAACATCTTGCTTTTGAAGCCGACCACTCTGCCCCCTCTATCTTCCCCTCCTCCACCCCTACCGTTGTCTCCATTTGCCCCTCCCCCCCACATTGCTGGATCTGCCCCCGCTGATAAGAAAAGACATTTCTGCAAAGTTCCCCTCACTTGATTATGCAGCCTGCGTCAGGTCAAGCGCAGGGATGGAGAGGTTTCACTCACTTTCACAGAGACCCTGGGGCCCCGAGGGGGTTACGGGGTCATGATAAACAGCAGAGATGACAGTACAGCTGAATAAATCCCCAAATCTGCCCCCTGCAGCATCAACTCTGCGTCTTGATTTCTGATTTCAGAGTTAAGATGTTGAGAATTCTAAAGGGAGAAAGAAGGCCATTGTAATTCCACCGGCGAAGACAGAAAGCTGCGAGACGGACGAAAAAAAACTTGATAAGAAAAACCAACAGCAGTAATAGCTCTGGTAATATCCAGGGTGTGAGCTATAGGGGGAGAAGAAATGGCCTTGTTTGAGGGCTGTCACGTCTGGGCCTTGTGATTTATTGTGATGACTTGAGCGCTCTCATCATGTGCATTCAGGCTGCTAAGATACGACGGGAGGAGGCCCCATTAATACTGATTATAAGAGCATGTTGCCGTCCTGTGTGCTGCTGGTCTGATGGTTCTTTTTCTTATACTATATCAATTCAGTGACAGTTCTTAATGGAATAAATGGGATTGGTTCCCTCACATTGACTGTGATGCTATAACGAGACTCCCTGCCTTATCCTCTAATCTCCTAAGTGCATCTATTAAGATCATTTATGATTCATGAGTCGCAGAACTTTTACTTACAGTAGCAATTTAGCACTGCACGGAAGTCAAGACAGAAACAGCTTTAGCATGTTTTCATTGTTTTGCCTGATTTCTATTTTATTACTTCTGTGAAACCACATAAGTTCTTCAAAATAAATCAATATCACAAATGATATGAGATTATGATAATGAAACTGAAACCTAAATCAAATTTACAGTCTTTGAACAAGCTACATGTATACATATCTAACCCCTTTAATTGTCATCTATCCATTACATTTGTCCTTGCCCTCTTTTTTTCAAATATGTAATGTAATTTCCCCTGAGTGGATATCTGCTCTCTCTCAGTGAAAGCACTCTTGGATACAGCCAGGAAGTGTTTGGTGTTTTACTTTATGCAGCATTGGTGAAGGGTGCAAGGTCCTTCAGTCTATAAGTGTCTGCAATTATTGAGTTTGTTTGATTTGAAAGGTTTTCAAACATAATTTTTGATAATAAATTCAAAAATTCAACAACAACTTACAAATATGATTTATAGAAAGTCTAAAGAGCACTGGAACCAGCAATGAGCCCTGTGGTTCCCCACAATCATAACTTCTGAATCAAATTATTCACTTGAGCACTTTGATATTTGTTGTCAAAGCTTCTCATTCAGGAATATGTAACCCCTCTAATGCCATATGTTTCAAACGTCTTCATAAATAATCCACGGTCAGTGTTATCAAACACTTGTTGAGGACAGTCGACTACAGTGACTCAGCTCAGTATTTTGTGTTGCATTACTCAGTTATGTTAGTGATCGTTACACGTTTATTCTTAATTAAATTAAAGTATAATGACTTAGTTATTCTTGTTTCTGATTCTTGTTTTTGATTATAATGAGCACTTTTCACATTACTTCTGCTTTGCTTCAACAACGTTAAGTAACATATATAAATGAGCAGAGCACAGTAGGTCTTCGTTCCCCAGCAGCAGTGTTTTTCCAGATTTAAATCAGTGTTTGTATAGTTTCCTTGCTTTGTACAAAAGACCCCCCGTTGCACACAAACTGCTCCTTTTGAGAAGTGTTGCTAGGATACAGGCCAGCGTGAAAATGAAATCGCCTCTGTATTGTTTTCCCGCAGCTGTACAGCTCGGACATTACGACCAACTTATTGTGTCTGTGGTATAATTGTACAGTACGTCTGCCCAGTATTGTGCATGTGTTTGAATATTTAGTCTCCAATGTGATTGGGATTGTGTCATACAAAGCTGCAACATTAAACAGATTCTCTTCTCTAATCCATTTTCTGCAACAAGCCCCCATTTGTGTGGCGACAGTGAGATCTCAATCCTGCGGTCGCACGTCTGAGTCCCCGACAGCCGACACCTCAGGCTGTGCACAAAGAATCGATAGAATCTGCCTCATGTTCAATTATACTCTAATCATCGCACACCAGTCCAACACAACCTGCAAGTAAATGGACAGGTTTGCTTCACTGATGCTTAATGATACCTGTAAAAAAATACACATATTCTGTGCTAAATCCAGTTCTGAGTTTAAGAGAGTGCTGGTCAATATACACTGGAAAAAAATCAAAGTGTAATTATTATCATTATGATTAAAAATGTTTCCTTTCCAGCTCATAAAAATATGAAGTGATACTTAAAATCGACACACTTGGATTGTTGTGCTATTACCTGCAAAGTACCATCTAATTCCATTTACTGTTTCTGTTTCTTTTGCAAGGATGTAAAATCAAATGATCTATTAATTCATAATTGGCTTTTAACATCAAATCAAATCAAAAAAACAATCTGGCCACTTCAAAATTTACTGCATCTCAGTTTTTTTTTCTTGTTTCAGAATCTCCCGTCACTGCGTGTTTTTATTAAACATTTAATTTTTAACATTTAATTTTAAACACATGATGAGGCACTTTAAGTCTCATCTGATTTATAATATCATTGAAATGAAGATTATTGTCAGCCATCATAGAGAGATCAGCTTTCCTCTCTGTCTCAGTTAGTGCTCGTAGTGTTCCTCCACACTCAAACAGCTGCTGCTTTTATGACTGTGTTACTGGGCTACGAGGCTCAGAGCCGGTGTCGCTCTGGTGATTCCTGGTGTGGTGTTGACATCCTGGGGGCAGTGAGCGAGCAGTGAGATGAGTGCTCGGCTAAACCAGTGCTCAGGATTCCTTCTGGCAACTGTCTAAATGTCAATCTTGAGGTGTTGACCAATCAAGGAGCTTGAGTCTGGGAAGCTGACAGGAAGCAGAGACACATCAAAGACTCTGCGGGACAGTGTATTCACAGTCAGAGATGGTTGTTGACACAGGTTGATGCTGAGACAGTTTTTACATTAATGATATAATGTTGAGATTATTGGATTATTTCATCAGCTGGAAAACAATAATCATTTCCAGCTTCTCAAATGTGATGTTGCTGTTTTGTATGATTTCAAACTGAGTTTATTTATAGCCAACAAAACCAAATTTTAAGGTTTTCCTGGGATGTATTTTTTGAATCACTAATGTTGCTCAACAAAATCCTGCTATCTTTTTAACATAGATTTTTGTTCTTGTACAAATGTTTCTTTGTCAACAGCCTCTTGTTGCACAAACAGTTTGTATGTGCTGTTAATTATGTGACCTGAGGTTTTGTCATATTTCTGCACATTCACAGTTGCCGCAAAGAAAAACATGTTTTTCTGTAGAGTCTAATAATCTGTCTCTCTTTTTGTTTTCTTGCCTCTCTTTAAGGAAATCCAGGCAGTCCTGCTAATGTTCCATCAGCTGAGCTTTTAGCACCAGGTGGTTCTCACTTCAGCATCATGCTGCACCTCACCCTGCTCCATCTCCTGGTTCTCTCACTCTCTCCTGCAGGTTAGTAGCACATCAGGGAAAAAGAGAACAGCTTAAGTGAATTAACAGAATGTGTCAAGTGGTATTTTTGAGATGCTGGATTCTTGCTGTGAAAGATAAAAACCATGTCTCTAAAAAAATCATACTACACACTCAACCTGTTTTTTTAGACATGGGTTCGGGACATTTTCCAGAGTTTGCCTTTCTCATATGGAGGAGGGAGGTTTAGAGTCAGAGGGTTATTCTCTGGGTCAAATGGTTCACAGCAACAGAACATTTCCGAAACATGGGTAGAGGCAGTATGCAGAACATGATGTAAAATCCACTGTGGAAAACATGTTTTTGTTTACAGCACATCTGCACCAGCTTTGGCCCAAAAGCTCTCGTATCTCATCGTCCTTCCAAGTAGACATCTTTGTCGACGTCTCCTATGTGTATGGCACATACATATTTCTATTCTTTTTGTTTTTTTTGAACTCCATGCCCACCCGGACCTTTTACAAGGGGTTAGCAGAAAAAGTTCTGGAAAATCTCTGCAGCAACTGACTCAGACATTTGATGTATCACATACAGTCCCAGAGTTCAGTGCGTGTCTGAAGGCAGCACTCGCCTCAGTGATGTGACAGTCGTGATAATTAGATATAAATATTAAATGTTTCTGTGACCATTACATTTTTCATCCTTTCACAGTCACATCATATTTTTACATATTGGCCTGAGTTTGAGTCAAAATAAAAAATAAAAATTGTAGAAAAAGCTATAAAGATGGATGTATAGCTGATGAACCGGGCTGGGCCATTGTGCTCTCAGAGGTGCTGGAGTTTTCATTGCTTCTTTCCCCCTGATCTTGCTGTGCAGTCATCTGTGCTGGAAATAAAACAAAGTAGACAGAAAACAGCGGCCCTGAAAATGACCTGTCTATACAACCTCCTCTGTGCTCCCATTCCCGAGGCCATTCTCACTTGTTTCAGATTGGATTTTACATGAAGCACAAAAAATGGGAGCTTACATTGGGAATTTTGCCGTCACACCTCATTCTTCTCAAACAGATGTTGAGATCTCTGGGACTTAGACTTATTTTTCTCTTTTTTAATATGGGCATTGTAGCTGAGTTCACCAAAGATATTGGCAGCACTGCAGCTAAAGAGATATCCTTTTGGAAATACTGTCACATGCTGCTATAGAAAAGAGAGGAGCAGATAGACATACATAAAAACCACGGACAAGGTTGCACTGCTCACACACTCTACTAGGTGTATATGCTATATTTGAGCTGCACACAGAGCTGAGCTACAGTATATGCCTGTTGCTCGATCAAAGCAGACAGCAGCCAACCAAGAGTCTCAGGCTGTTATGGTGGGTAGAGAACATTAGCTTGACATTTTTGTTTAGCCCCAACGAGAATAAACTATGATGGTTAATGTGACGTCAATGCTTTGACAGCCGAACAAAAGTCAAGCCCAGGTTACTGAGCACTGAATGTGACTGTGCTTTTTGTAGCTGAGCCAAACCATTGCAATGCTTAGACTACAACATATCGATGCAAAATTTAATTTACCTGTCATATTGTTGGAGGAGGAGCCTTTGAAAGGACTTGCCCCTGGCAAAAAGGACCTTTCTAGTCTGAAACCAAACCTCAAAAAGTACGAAGCTATGAAGCTACGAAGGCTAATCTATGCTGCTTTTGCACACGAAAAGATATGCATCAGTTTCAAACTTTGTAACCATTACTGCCCACATACTTTCATGTGTCTTTCGATGCACTGGTTGTTAAGCGATGGAGGGCAGGGCTGGGTCCAGAGTTTCTGATAACTATGAGGTTTTACTACTCACAATAGAGGCAAAAGTGGCTATTTGTCCCTGTCTCTGAAAAGTCTCTCTCTGGCTATTATTGACATATCTTTCTGTCCTACGATCATCTCACTTGAACTATTAGCTAACCTGCCCCCTACTATTCCCTGTGGTACTGCTCCGTTTCACCTGTGTTGTCTGTATCAGAAAGCTTTCAGAAGATGGGCACTAATATGCATGCAAAGTGAGAATAAAAAGGCTCCATCCGTTATTGTACACATATTTCATTTTTCCCACCAGTCCCCTTTACATAGCCAATTATAGAATTTGATGCCGTTCTAAAAGATTGTTGCTGCTGTGGACTCACATTATCAGATGTTCTCAGGGGTCCCCTGTGTTGCCGCAGTTGCCTGCTTAGTCTACCCTGATCTGAATACCTTATCACCATTAAAGCCAACCACGGACGTCGTGTATTTTATTGCGAAGGGCAGTGTGTAGTGTATTTTACAGAAATAGCCATCAACCCAAGATAATCTTTCATTCTAAAAAGCACCACTCATATCAAAGACCCAAACATTGCAGAAAATACCCTCATGATGACATTTTTTGATCATTTGTGCTGTGAAAAGTCAGAAATCTGTGTGAAAAGGTTATTTTTTAGCGTCATGTTTCAAAATGTTGACATGATTTCCTTTTTTTTTTTTACAGATGCATCGTTCCATGGGGAGGTACCTGACTTTTATAGTGGTAAGAATTCAATTTAGAGCTTCCATCTTACATAAATGTACCTTTTGAATTCATTCATGAGTGTCCAAAGTTTTGATATTAGGAAAACACTCGTAAAATCTTACCAGTGCTGATAACGTTCCAGGGTCAAGGCTGAATAGGCGGTGACAGAGAATTATTAATAACCAGAGAGGTCACAGGGTTGACAAGCAATTTATTTTCGTTCTGTAGTAGTACCCTTGAGGAATTCAAGGGATCCCTCGCTGCTTATCCAGACCATAATAGTAAATAAAAATACCTCAAATGTGAAAAAATGAAATAGCAGGATGGCAACTAAATATAAAGGCTCCATCTGTTTTCAAAGCAAAGGCAAACAAGCTGCGTCCATTCGGAGGCAGGTTGATGAGGCCGTGGCCTTGGAGTTCAGAGGATGAAGTGATTCATAGTGATTCACAGTCAAGGCCGCACTACGAGACCTGTTAGAGAAGATTAAGGCCAGTTACTTTTGGTTGCTTATTCCCTTATTCTGTCAAAACTCTTTTAGCATGGGAGCTTTTCCTGGCTTTTCCCTTTGAATTTCATTTCATTTCATTATGGAGAAACACTCCATTGACTGTGTTGACTGTAACTTAGTGCATCAATGGATTGAACAATGCAGTAAAGTTAGAAAATGTCAGAAATAGTATTTAATTAAAAGGCCATGTCCTCCTTACTTTATAATCCTCATTCAAGCCGGTCAGTCATCGCCTGTTTTAAAATCAGGAATGTGGAGCATCTTGTCCAGTAATACTTTAGTAAAGGTTTCAAAAATAACAAAATACTTCATCTTTTGTCACATCAGCACCCTATTATGGCAAGTATCAGGACTATGAAAAGATTGTGCAAGAAACATTGTCTGGAGGAAGTTGCCCCTTTTGTGGGGGAGGAAATGTTTGGCAGTAGTCGACTGTGAGGTTATCATTAATTACATCTGCATGTTATTCATAGTTTATTAAGAGACAATGAGATTGGCTGGTGATATTCTCGCTGTTTATTTTATAAAAAAATGTTTTTTTCTTTCTTTATGTAATGGAATGACGTTTTTATTATACAATTTTGAATTTATTTTCATGTACCACATTATACTGGTAGTAATACCAAATTATTCTCAAAATCACATTATTTTTTTCCAGAATGGCCCTAAAGTACAATGAAAAGTAGTTTATCTGATCTGATGGGCTTCAGTTCCCATCTTTGACCACTCAGACCCCTGAGGTGGTAAAACCCCACTAGTATCTGGCTGTCAGGATTCATTAAGAGACATCCAATGTGACAGACTGCTCCTTTTTCTTTTTGATCTACAGTAGAACAGACCTAATGAAAATCTATGTTTTTCTTCTCCACTCTGGCTATTCCTGTATTTCTCCTACTTGGTCTGAGACATTTCACTGTACTCAGCAGATGAATGTGGGATGGTCATTAGAGCCAGGAATTGTAATACAGTTACCATGCATCATTGTGGGTTTGATGAGAGAATAGTTATAAACTCTCACATGTTAAATATTAGGCCACAGCCTGTAGGCGATTAGCGTAGCTTTGCATAAAGACTGTAATTGCTGCTATAGCATTTCCTCTGTCTGATGAAAACAAAATCCAGCACCTCTAAAGCTCAATAATAACACGTCCTGTTTCACTTGTTTGATCTATACTTAAGCCAAAGTGTATCAACAACAAGCCGGGGTTTTATGGTGGGTTATGTGCCAAAATGATTATTTGGCTGGGTGTCGTTGCGAAGTTGCCAAGCAACCAGTTGAGGCTCCAGGAAGTCTCTGTACTCGGCCAACAAATAGTCCAGAAATACTCTGTATTGATCTTTTCATCTGACTACCAGCAAGAAAGTGAAGAAATGTATTTCCCAAAATGTCCTACTGTTCCTCTAGATCAGGTCTCCTTGCAAACAAACTGATTTCTATTCAGTACCTACGTACATGTATATATAATGTACTGTCAGAGTTCACTGTCTGCATAAGATTTCCCCATGTGTTTTTATTTTCTGGGAGAAAAGGCTTACTGTCAGCGAGGGGTAAATAGAAAAAGAAGGCTTGCTGATTGGTTGCTTGGAAACAATTTGTGCTGCTACATGCAGGTTGAATTTTTGGTGGAATCAGTAACAAGAGGAATCTTTTTTCCTTGCTGTCTTTGTTAACCCTCTCATTCTTTTCTCCTCTGACCACAGATGGTTTTCTTAGTCTGTGTGTCTGTCACCTTCTCCACATTTGCTCAACTTTTCTATAGAAATAACACCATGATGAAACCTGGACTCTGCCGAATGTTTTTGCTCCGGCTTTATAATTTTGAACTCTTTGTCAAACTTGGACAAAGATGAATGTGTCGTCATGGGCGGAGGTAGAGTCAATACCCAGCTCCTCAAAAGTCAGAGCATTGTGCAGGCTTCCTTCCAGCAGGGACACGCTGCAGAATCCCTCTGTTTTCTTACAATCTAACTATTATTCAGCCTTCAGCGATGTTAATGCATCACTCTGCTATTAAAGCGATACTCATCCCAATATCTGCCGATATGTTCTGTTCTGTCAGATTGGTATATTAGGTATACTAAGCAGATTAAATCAAATATTGTAAAACTGGGTGATCCACTAACTCAGTTCTTAGATGCATGTCTCTGCATCACCTCACATATAAAAGATTCCAGTGATTTCAGAGAGCTTCACACTCCCACCTCCACATTTCACAGATAGCACTGTGCAGCCACGTCCATTCCAAACATGCTGGACACCATCTGATCCAAAGAAAATGTATTTTGATTTCATCTCACCAAAGAATGTGCTGCTACTATTTTTCACACTTTTTATTTGTATGGTCTTTGGCAAAATCTGGTTCTCGCAGTTTTATGCAGTTCCGTGTGAGTAATGTATTTCTTCTTAAATGTCATCGGTAGAGGTTGACTTCATGCAGCGTCCTTCACACTGTCTGAGCGGACACTGAAACACCAATTTCCTCTGTAAGTGATCGGGGGGGGGGGGGGGGGGGGTGTAGCCAGTTTTGTTATGTACAGTATGTTATGGACTGTGAAGCTCTGCTCTGTCGCAGCTGCCACTTCAGAGAGTCATTCTTTCTGATGTCACATCTGGCACCAACACTGACCGTACCTCTGCAAATAACCTGCAGGGAATCTGAACAACTAAATATTATTCATTAAAAGCAGGATAAAAAGGTAGATTTTTGTTTTACTCCAGGGACAGTTTTATCTGCCGCCATGCCTCGTTGTTAGGCTCAGGGGCTTGTGGGTAATTATTGCTACATTGTGCTTTTGGTGCCTCCAGGAAACAATATGCTGTCTGTCCCATTTGGACACTTTCTCGGTCGTGCAAACAGACCGTGCGGCAGATGTAGCTAAAACACACAGCTGTGTGTAAAAGTGAATTCATCAGAGGGTTAAGGTCCTCTGGGGAGTTTGAGTAATTATGTGACTTTTAGATGTGCAACGAAAACCCACACTAACCTGTGAGAATGTAATTGACAAGCAACATGAAAGAAGACAGGACAGATGGAAGTTTTTTTATGTTTGCTGGGAATTACGCTTTCAAATGAACATGTCATGTATTTAAAATTGTACTTTCTACCTCAATGAATTATTGATGCCTCATTAGAAACTGAAGCCAGGGGATATAGCAGGCTCCTGAAATAACAGGCTGTGTGGTATTTCAGATTCAAATGACCGTATAAACTTGCTTGCTCTTTGCCTGAGTGGGAGTCTGTGTTTGATAATGAAGTCTGTCCTGAAAAGATCACTTCCAGCAGGCCCTTGAGACAGATTGCCTCTGTGTGTCTGTGTCTTTCTTCCCTTTGTGCACAGATGTGGCCTGACAGTAACTGTCCTCCTTTTCTTTTTTTGTATATGTTTTATGTCTGCATGGGAGGGAGCGAGCATCTCTCCATTGACTGTTGAGTAAATCATTATTCGCCCATTAAACAGGACAAATAAGTGTATCCACAGATAATTCAGAAGCAGCTGTGGCTCAGGCGGTAAAGCGGTTCATCCACTACCAGCAGGTCGGTGGTTTGATCCTCCAGTATGCAGGCTGAAATGTCCTTGGGCAGGACACTGAGCCCCAAATTGCCCCATGCAGCTGATAGAAAAATCTCTATGTATGAATGGGTTAATGTGACTTGTACTGTAGAGCACTCTGAGTGGTTGAAAAGACAAGAAAAGCGCTGTATAAATACAATCCATTTACCATTCAAGTTGTGCCAAAACAGAGAGAAGGGAAACAGAGAGAGGCTTTGATCCAGAGAGAAGGAGAACCTCAGAGAGATTTTAAGAGATACTAAAACAGAGATTTGAAAGAGGGATGTTAAATTGGGGAGTTGGTAAGAGGTGCTCTGTGTTTTGAAAGCAAAGAATATCGGTCATGTTTGGGAAGAGGATGGAAAGAGTTAATTACTCTAAAGATCTTTTCAATCCCTTATTCAATGAAAACATCCCCACGCACAGAAACCTTGCACACTGAGTCATTTTCTTTTTCTGTTTGTCAGTGGTTTAGTTTAGTTCGCTACCAGCAAATGGATCTAGACATTAAAAATAAATAATAAAAACTTTTGATATGTATTAGCTTCTCAGATGCCATTTTGGACGATGACTTCGCAGTCACGGTGGCTCTGAGCGCTCGAACAACTCTGAAACCCCTCTGACGGATGCAGAAAACACAGCAGATGGAATCTGATCTGAAAACTTTAATAATGGATGAAAGAGTGGCATTCAGTGTGTAAAGGTCTCTGTATGTTGGCCCTGTTACTGGCTGGCAACATGTCCAGGTTGTACCCAATCAGCTAAAATTGGTCCCAGTCCCTTCGTGGCCCTTACAGATTACAGAGGGATAGTTTTGCAGATGTTTGGTAGTGAAACTTTGACCTGATGGTGGCACTAGATAAACAAATGAAGACTTCACAGTGTGCTCTGGCTGCCACGTGGTTACAGCAGCCACCTCGTAACTGCAACATCCACAATTTGACTCCAATCAGGGACCTTTCCTGCATGTCATACCAATTTCATGGCAATCCATCATTCTCATCCAAAGCGACGCACCAGTCAACAGCCCGTCACTGTCCAAGCTGCTGGTAACTGAAGAGTCAAGAGAACATTAGAGGGAAAGTAGGTGTGAAAAAGGAAGAGGAGCAGGGTGCGACAGTGGGATATAGGTTAGAGAGAAGAAGTGGGGACAGAGGAAAGCCGGAGAGAGTTAGAGACGGACAGACAGAGAAATGGAAGCGAGGCAGAGGGAATGTTCGAGGTCTGTGTGTGTGTGTCTCCAGGCAGTGGGCCTTATGTGGCCTGCTTTAACACTCCCCTCCACCATCTGTCACATCCCACATTACAGGGAGAAGATAGGACCGGCACCAGCCTTCTTCTCTCGAGTTACACCCCGACTGCTACAGTATTTCAGCACTGCTCCAGAGCCTTAGCGACTCCAGCACATCCAACAGTTATAGTGTATTTCAGGTTTACACGCAACGCATTTATCCAACACTCATGCAGAACTACTCCAGTACAATAGGATCGCTGTATTCCCTTTACTCACCCTGTGTCTTTTAATGGTATTTTTAATTTCTCCCTTGTTCCCAGAACAGTTTCTCACTTAATATGCTGTCCATCAGGCACCCAATACCTATTAATACTTATAATATATTTAATACTCCCTCAGCCAGCAGTATTTCAAAGTCCTGCTGCTGCAGTGTGTGAGTGGGAGTGGATCATGTCTCCTAACGTCTTAATTGTTGCGTCATGGTCGGTTATACAGGGCACAGCTAACCCACTAGTGTGGCTATTTTTCACTTTAAATGTCTTTACTTCCTGAGAGGAGAGGCAGATAAACATCACTGCTCTCAGACGTGCACTGAAGTCTGGATGTTCCTGAAATCTACCAGTGAGTCCTTGTGAAAATAAGAAACAATGTCAGAAAAATTCACAGCCAGTGAGTGGGCATGTTGACGATGTTTCTAACACACGATGGAGGTGAAACTTGTAGAATAGGAATATCTACAGATGAAGAAGAGGTGTCATACACCTAGAAGAGACCAACCGATGTGAACTAATTGAGGCAATAAGATCCAAGAACAGACACTCGTGTTTATGAGCTTAAAACAAAAACAGTGGAATATACGTCATGTCCTACCACCCAGGCGCCAGGCCCTCGCCAGAATGTCATTCTGTGAACACGTCTGACCCAGACCATCTCTTACTGCACTCTTCGTTAGCTATTTTCAGACCTCAACTCTGGAAAATGTCGGCACAGTCCAGACTTTCTATGGAGTTCAATTTACTTATGTGAACAATGTAGCAGGAGATTGTCCGAGTCAGATCTCATGCTTGCAACACATCCACGCTGACTCCCTTGTCTTTCCAAGTTGACTACCTCGTCTGCATCCTCTACATGTATGGCACCTAATTTTTACACTGAAATACTTGTATTCTGTTAAAATTTTTGTGTCCGTTTGAAACGTCCGCTAACATCTGTCAAAACTCTGGAGAATGTCCGCAGCAACTCGTGCAATTATTTGCGTTTTCCAGAGGTCAGTGCATGTGTCCCAACATTTATATGGGAAAACCAATTTTCCGGACATTAATGTCAGAAAACGGGTTCCATAACTGCTGCAGTGATGATAAACTACGTAGTCAGTTTAGGACATTATTAAAGTCAAACGTACACACATTTGGCTGCTGGAATATATGCAATTCTTATTATTCTGCAAAAAATAGTTCATCACACTGCTTTTGTGGTAGTAAACAGTTTCAGGCAGCAGGGTATCATGCAAATAAAAGTCTTTTGTCCAGGTTTTCGAAAAGGTTGCACATTGTCTGTCAGTATGATATTTTGTGAGTAAGTGATTCAGTCACTGTGTGTGTAAGCGTCTGTACAGGGCTGGTGCCCAATAGAGGCAGGATATTAGAGAGAGAGCTTCTCCTCATTTAGGTGTCAGCTGCACGCCCTTCGAACTCAGACACATGGGGGCATAAGAAAAACACACAAACACAGACACACACATCTTTGCAGCCACGCTTCACATTTGTATGCCTGCAGTCACCTACACACGCTCGTGATGTGGGAGAATAATCAGCGCTTGGGAACATTTTTCCCTCATTGCTTATTCATAGCTTGGCATTGTGTTTATGTCTTATTCACGCCAAAGCTCATAATCTGTTTAATGAGTAATCGGGGCTAATTGTACGTATGTGTGTGTCGATGCTGTAAAGGCAGATTGAACCAAGCAAGTCATTTTCATCAAGCAGAATGTTCTCCTTGGATTTGCCTGTGCAGCTGCTTCATCATGACACATGCAGCATGAAAAGAAAGGGCGTTGGATTATGCTAAGTCAAGTTAGCGTTCCTTTAACAGCTCCAGGATTTGTATTAACGTGGAATAATATCATATCCACTGGCAACAGATGATCATGTTGCGGTGATTTGGCACCTGAGTGAGCACATCTCCTTCACGATAAGTGTGAGGTTGCGATTTGGAATAAAAGGCGGCCTCATTGCTCGATGCTACACAGAGAGTTTGTGTGGATTCCACGGTTGGATTAGTTGAAGCTACAACCAGGATTTATCTAAAACCGGCTGCTTAGCATTGGAGGTGTGTGAAACCTCAATCTGTGCTGGAATGTTAAAAGACAGGTCCTCGCAGTCAATCCCTAGCTGGTGCATACGTCTGAACCCAGCTGTCTGCTTTTTTTTGATGAAACTGCTCCAGAACTGTCAGACAGATGCTCCGACACCTTGATATTTCCTCTTTTTTACGTCTGACCCAGCTTGTTGTTATTTACCCTGCTCTTGTTTGTGTGTTGTCAACAGATGAAGCCTCAGGTTTCGGGCCAGTGTTTGAGGAGCAGCCGGTGGACACCATCTACCCCGAGGAGTCGCCTGAGGCCAAAATCATACTAAACTGCCGCACTCGGGCCAATCCACCTGCCACATACAAGTAACATATGTTCCCCATAATCTACTACCCACCGGACATTCTGTTTGCCTCCCGTCTCTTGCTTTCTCTCAGGCTGTACCCCTGGACTTGATTCATAGTGTTTCAGGCTACATCCATACTATTATGTTTTCATTTGAAAGCAGGGTTTTCAAATTAAAACAATCTCTGTCCACTCAAGCGTTTTTGGTCCATATCAGTTTCATTCCTTGTACATATTAACTGGCCTGATATCGCATATCACATGACCACTCATGTACATCGGGCATATGCTTGCTAGTGTAAACAGATTCATCAAATGATCTAGTAGCTCTTCTCCTGTAATCATTTTTTATTATTGTAAAATGCAAAATTTGACTTCACAACAAATGTTAGCAAAAACAACAGGGTGAGCAATGCTTGTAATTATTTATCCTTGTTGCATTCACTAGTGGTTGCAGAGGTTAATCCCGACTGTATTCTTCCAGAAAGAGGGTCATGTAATAGGATTCTGACAAATCAGCGTGGGCTACGTCCAGACTGAAATGACCCAATCAGTGTCTTTGTCATAATTTCCAAACATCTCCTCTTCTGTTCTTACAGACGTGAAATGAAGCCCTGGAGTTTTCCAATTGTTTCAGCAGTTTTTCCAAACTTCCTGATTTAGTGGCTCTAGAACTCCGGATAGTTTGGACACCAGGTGTATCCACAGCATTGTTGATGCATTTTCTAACAATAGAAAAAGCTGTGTGGCTGTAGCTTCAGGGTCTGCCTCTAAATGACAAGGTCACAAGGATGTGTGTGAGTGCAGTAGAGGAACACACCGTACATTTCTAAAATGTTCCCTGCATTATCTGCACGTCTTCTTATTTATACAGATATTTGTTTGTTTTTTTCACACAAAAAATAATTTAAATGGTAAAATTACGTCGCACCAGAAGAACTTAATAACAGATAAGTTGTTCCTGCAGCTGTAGCACAGCCTGCACCGCCATCTCTTCTTCGCCTCATTTTGCAGCTCGGAATTTTAAAGCATTTCAAATGATCCATTTCAATTTAGATGTAAATGTATGTAAATGACATTGCTCTGCATCTTCCAAATCAGTTTCACTATCAAGACAGCCCAGAATTAGATGTCAGAGGGGAAAGAATTAACTTCCACCACCGCTGGTATCAAGTATACAGATTACGTCATTATGCCTTTGGAAACATGAAATTAGTTTTTGCCTTTATATTGACTCCCAGTTTATGGATCTAACAGTGTGTACATAGGTGTCTTGCAATAATCATTAACTGTAAAGCTGAATAGTCAGAAACCATGTGCAATTAAGGCACTTACTGTGTTTGGTCTGGACTTTCAGGGTTTTGAGTTTAGTCCGAACCAAAATAACAGGTATGAAAGGTGCCTCAGATCATGGTTCAGACCAAAAGAGGTGTTGTCTTGATCCACGCTTTGATCATTTGCAGTGTGAAACAATTTTTTGAACAGTACAGACCAACTGCGTAATGTTGAAGAAGAAGAAGAAAAGGAAACAGAAGTTGCTCACAGTGTTGCCTGCAGTGTTTGCCTGCAGTGTTTGCCTCCGATGATATAATGTTTGAAAGATGAGGACGTTCATTTGATGCATTCGAACTATAATGTTGAGTACAGCATCTGAAGTTGGTGATGCTGGTAATAGTAATACCATTGTGATAATGATATTAACGAAATGAACTGGTTCATTGTTTTTCTCCATTCCGATCTGGCGAACTGACAAAACACATTAGACGACGTAATGTAATGACGACGGGATGTGCATATGCAAATTAAAAGGTCTTAAGTGCCCTCTCTCTGTAATCTGAAACCAGAACTTACTGGATCACATGTAAACACTGCCTACTTTCACTGTTATGCTAACTCCCTGTTGTTTTCCCTGTAGATGGAAGCTGGACAACTTGCACATTGATCTGACTGAAGAGGGCAGCCACTACAGTTTAGCAGGAGGCAACCTGGTCATCAGCAACCCTCTCAAAGCCAAACATGAAGGGGATTACTCCTGCATGGCTTCCAACATGTTCGGCACGGTCGTCAGCCAAAAGGGCTCGGTCCAGTTTGGATGTAAGTGGCTCAGATGTGCACCCCCGTATTTAGGCTGCAGTCATGTACAGTAGCATGCACAACATGCTAACATAGAACTGCCCTGCAGCTGTACTTTCATGCATATTAAGAGCACAGAAACTTCAAGGGCAGCTGGGACAAATCATGAGTGGTGTGGAATGTGCAATTTGTAAATGATTTGACTTCAATTCATGTCAGTGTAGCAAATGTACTTGAATTAACTTTATACAACTTTTAAACTTTTGTGAATGTTTTAAAAATTAGCTCTAGGAGACAATTCAAATGTCAATATGTGATGGTAGATTCTGAGGGGATCTTGAGTCTGAAACTCTTTTTTCTCTGTTCTCTCAGATCTGGATCTTTTCTCGTCAGAGGAGCGGGAGACGGTGAAAGTCAAAGAGGGACAGGGGGCAGTGCTGCTCTGCGCTCCCCCGCCACATCATCCAGGTACATTATGTTGTGTATCTGCTTCCCATAATGTTTGACCTCCCTCATTAAGCAGCTTTACCATCTGAGTGATAAACATGTGGATTGAACATCGTTGCAGTAGATAACACTGGGTTCCCTCCTAGATGCTGCAGTCCATAGCCATGTGAGTCAGGTGGCCTGAAGACTGTACATTATCCATGTACAGTTTGTACATGGTTTCCTCACTATAGCTCTCTTATGCTGCACAAATGGAAATTTTGAGTTCTCTCTTGCTATGGTAGTGCTGTTTCCATACATGTGGTAGGTAGGTCTCAAACATGCTAATGTTCATTTAAAGGTTCAGTGACAACTAGTGGTGAGGTTGCATGTTGCAGTTCAATATCCCTCACCTCACCCTCCCCTTCCAAACATGAGAGAGAACCTGTGGCAGCCTTCAGTCGCCACAAACTAAACTCAAAAGGCTTTCGTTTGTCCAGTCTGGGCTGCTGTTAAAAGCATGGTGGCATCCGTAGAGACGACCGGCTCCTGATGTTAATATAATGTATTTAGATATGAAGGGCCCATTCAATTTCTGCCAGTAGATCCTTTTCGCCTAAATCTTACACACTTGACCTTAAACACTTCTTCTGCTGCGGTTAAATCAAAGTGTGACTCACATAGTTATCATAATACACACTCTGCAGACATTGTTTACATTACACCAAGACTATTGACCTTATTACTGAACAGGACATTATGATGTTTACATGAGCAGCTAATAAGATATTATATCCAAATTCCTGTTTACATGTTACAGAGCATTGTCTGATTATGACTCAAGTCATAATTTCATCCTCTACGTCCACTACATCACACATCTGATGTTCCCGCAACCGTCTTTAAACGAGTAGGAAGACTGCAGAGTCTCACTCACCCCAGAAACGTCACTTCCTCATTGCACTAGCCATCCTGTGCACAGGCCATGCATCATCCAAGCAGGTGGTAACTGCAGTACATGTCCATGACACAAAATGCTGTGAAAACTCTTTTAGATGTTATAATTTTAAGACCTATACATGTCTACATAATGAGACTAAGGTCGGAATACTCCACATCTACTGCAAACTTTAATTTTAATCAGGTTAATGTCAGAATGGTGGTGTTAAGGTTTTTATCTGACTAATGAATCATTGCTGAAATAATGTAATGACCCATGGAGATGTTGTCCTCCTGGTGGTTTGGGATGGATGTATATTGCCATGGTCTGTATGTGAACTCATTTTATTCTTTTTCCAGCTTTTCACACTTTGAACATTGTTACATAAAACTTTTTATTCTCACCATTAACATTCCCATTTTTCAGCCACAGCCATCGACCCACAAATCTGTACACATATTGTGATTTTCATGCTGATGCAAATCCATTTAACACAACGGTCTGAGAGCATTGTTAAGTAATTCTCCACAGCATCAGAATTATCTCAGCAAGCCCATGTGCCTACACTCACCCCCCATTATGCCTCTCAGCCAGTAGAATTATAAGATTTCATCTGAAAGGTCAATAGATGCTCGAATAATAAATTCCTCTCAGCAACAAAGAATGGTGCTATTTTTATTTTGCATGTGTTGAGATTATTCAAATTGAACCGGCTCTCTGGTGCTTTCCATAGCTGTTGCCGTGTGTCCACAGTCTTGATTGACAGGTGGCTTTTTTGTCATGTCTCTCTCTGCGCAGCCGAGCTGTCGTTCCGATGGATCCTCAACGAATTCCCCACTTTCATCCCTCTGGACCAGCGGCGCTTTGTCTCCCAGTCAAACGGAAACCTATACATCTCCAAGGTGGACTCATCAGACACTGGCAACTACTCCTGCATCGCGTCCAGCCCGTCCATCTCCAAGAGCGTTTTCTCCAACTACATCCCTCTAGTGCCTCAGGCCGAACGTTAGTACTTCACCTCCTACCATTGTCTCTCCACCTGTTAGTTTCTGACCTTAACGTGAATGATGATCACAATGAAGCAGTGGTTTCTGGTTTCATCAGTTTTACAACCAGCGATTCAATATGATGCACATAAAAGCCTGAATCAAAGTCAAGGTTGGTTTGATTATCTTCCACCAGATTGACGACAGAATGATACTTGAGCTGCAATAACATTTATAATGTGCTGTATTAGTGCAATATAAGATATACTGTGTTTCGATGTATAAAATGAAATTAAGCTCAGTCCAACTATGAAACAACATTGATATTGAATCACTATACACTGCATTGATTTTTTTTAACTCCCAGGCTCCGAGTACATGTAAAGACAGGACAGAGTTTGTTTTAAAGAATGAACCGGAACATTAACAGCCTCAGAGACCAGAAACTAAAACTATGTGCTTTAGTTTGTTAACACATAAATATTGTGTTTGCAGAAACTAGTAAGATTTACTATGAGAAAACGAGGCAGCAGCTATTTTAACAGTCTCCTCAGGGACTTCGCATCACATTCTTCTTTTCATCGTCATCTAACCTGAAGCCAGTTTTACCTGTGGCAAATACATCTTTAGTAGTAGTGGTACACAATAGAACACAAACTAGAGTGTTGTGTCTCTGAGCTGAGCGGTTGTTCAGGCTTTCTCATGCATGGGAGTATTATGGGATGCCTTTTGGGTATGAAGCGACCTGTATTTCATGTTTTAACTAGTTTTCGTTTCTGTGTGTGTGTGTGTGTATGTGTGTGTGTGTGTGTGAGGGACTGAATAGTTTTGCATTTTGCCAAGGTTTTAATTTAATTTTATGAAACAGTGATTGCATTTGTCATAATGAGCTTTGTATAATATTTACATGGACTTAATATTACATTATATGACTCTATGTTTTTGCTTTATCTTATGTGTTTGGATTAAAGTTCGAGCATGTAAACACTAGTTGGTTTTGGAGAGCAGGAAAAGTGTTTATGATTTTATTGCTGACCCATTCTGGACTTTCACTTAAGTACATTTCAGATCTTTTTACACCATATGTAGCTGGAACCATTTGGCAAACTCCTCCCCTTTAAATCTCTCTTAAATACATGATTTTTCTCCGAGCTTTAATCATTTTACAATGTTTTATTTTATCTTTATATCATCTTTCCTCATCTGGGACATTTCTTATTTTTGTATCGCTGTGTGATTTTCTTTAATTTTCATAAATGAAGGTGAACGAGACAGGAAACGCTAAGCTTACATTTTATTGTTTGACCCTTTTCCTGTTTTCTGTCTAAAATTGAATCAGACAATGAAACTCTGGTTTGTGAAGTGAACTGTGTTCATCATCACCTGCTGTGGTAACTATCATCTTCAGCACAGAATTTACAGAGAGGTTGAGATGCCAGGAAATCAAAGACACTCCTGGAAGAACACAGTTTGTAGCCAAGTCTGGACTCACCCACTTACACATCACAGACAGAATCTACGTCACAGGTTTTTAAATGACCAAACATGCCCACTGAGACTGCAAGAAACAAACACGGTGCACGCAGCTGTACAACAACACCCCGATGACCCATGCTTTTTTCATACCACTGTTTGTTTCAGGATTAGCAGCTAGAAGTGGGAGCCTGAGTTATAACACAAATATTATGTTGTAATTCCTCTCAGGTCCCATCAGGAAATACCCTGCTGACCTCATTGTCAAGTTCCCAGACACCACAGCACTGGTCGGGCAGAATATCACCTTGGAGTGCTTCGCTTTGGGAAAGTAAGAGAAATGAACAAGTCTATTTTTCTCTCTCTGAAATAAAACTAAGAGGACATTTCTCTGTTATAAGTTTATTGAAATGTTCTCATGAATGTTGTAAATAGTATTATTCTGTTAATGTGCTCTCTTACACTATGCAATTTGTGAATGTGATATACAAATACAATTTTATTGATTGATTGATTGATTGATTGAAATGATGCAGCATACATACCGACTAATGCAGCTTAAACACAGAATTTGAAAAAATCTGGATTTATCACTCTCTTAAGAAAACATATTTGTTCCTCCTTATTAAAAATGACATCAACAGTAGCTGAGCCACATTTAGAATCACTGCCTTCTTACTGAAAGATTTAAAGGCATGTCTCGGAGTGGTGATGACTGGAGTGCAGTCATGCATAAGTAACACAAGAATCAGGCCTTATTATGCATGTCGTTCTCAGCCCTGTTCCTGAGATCCACTGGAAAAAGTTGGAGGGGCCGATGCCGCCCAATCACGAGAAGGCGGGGGCTCATCTGCACCTGTACAATGTGCAGTTTGAAGATGGCGGCACGTATCGGTGCGAGGCGGTGAACTCGAGAGGGAAAGACTACCACACTGCACGTGTGTCTGTAGAGGGTAAGACATTAGCACATCTCTTAAAATCTAGGTTTAACAAATATTCAGCCTCATTAATTCTCTGTGAAGCTTTCTGTGTGGATTTGATTCACCAGCCTTATTTTCTTATCACTACCTTACTACTTTTTCCACAGTATTTTCTTTTTATAGAACTGACGCCTACTTTAATGCCTTGAATATCACCCCATGTCATATATTATGCAGCAGCTTTGTAGTTTTCTCACTCTAACTCTTGACTTTCCTCATTTGCAGCTTTTCCTGAGTGGGTAGAGCACATCAGCAGCACAGAGAAAGACCTCAATAGCGAGTACACCATGTCCTGCGAAGCCAGCGGTAAACCCAAACCACACATCCGCTGGCTGAAAAACGGAGAACCGGTAATATTCCAACTCATAGATCTTTATTGTCCTGTAAGGGAGCAATTTGGCTTCAGCTATCAAATACTCTGAGCTCATTCTGCAGCTCTGTTTGGTCTCTCAAGAACCTGTGTGCATCTCAGGGTTGTTACTGCGGTGACAGGAAGCTGGCACTGTGGGTTCACATGGTGTCAGGAGAAAGTATCTGTTGTCACTGAGCCGGTGCCAGCATGAGCTGTGTATCGCTCCATACAAACAACTTGTCATCAGGACAGAAAAATACCCAGGAAAGTTGCAGCTGGTGACAGCAGAGTGGAGGAGGGGGATGCTGCTGGATGCATCATTAGGTATTAATGAGACCCCCCCCCCAGTCAAACTAATCGTCATCTCTAGCTCTGTACATGTCAACAATCAACTTATGATTTTCATAAACTGCAGTGAAATGGTGAAAAATGTAGAATTATTTTTTTTTTAATGTTTCACTCCGATTGTTTTCCACAGCTCGACAGGAAAGAGATGAAGTTCAGCAGCCTGAAGTTTGACGACTCGGGGATGTACCAGTGCATAGCGCAGAATCACCACGGAGTCATATATGCCAATGCAGAGCTGCGTGTGTTTGGTGAGTCAAACTTCGGCTGCAGCTGCGTCAGAGATTCAAAAGGTCGCGTCTCAAGCTGACGACTCGGAGCTCATTAGGACTTTTACAAAACTGGCTTTTGTCATTCAAAGTAGCGTGCACTAACTCGCTTTTATGAATGTACAATGTGTCATAAATCTATCCATGCCTGCAGTCAATGCATATTCCACTGAGTTTGTGATGAATAATCTATAACACTGTCATGTCTCAGCCTGTGCTCCCACGTTTGAACACAACCCAGTGAAGAGAGTCCTGGTGGCTAGAAACGGCCGAGTGGTGATCAAGTGTCGACCGAAAGCTGCTCCAAAGCCGAACTTCTCCTGGAGCAAAGACACAGAGCTGCTCTCCAACTCTACCAGGTGATCAGTCTCTTAATATTGTCCTTTTCCATCCATCCATCCATCTATCGTCGGCCGACTGGGGTATTCCAGACATCCCACTTCCTTGACCTTGACCCACAGAGCTTTGTTGGGCCCGGTCGGGCACCAGGGAACGTGCTGTGATCAGCGGGGAGTTGGCGAAGACTCTTCCTTTTGTCCTGTGCAGTATTGTCGTACAGAGCCTGGTTTGTCAGTTTTTGCGGTTTTTAATGCTGATATCCAACTTTTTCTCCACGGTGAGACACATCTGGGTCATATTACCACAAAGACACGTGTCTGAGAACTGACTAATGGTGAGACACATACAGTAGTGATTTTGGGGATCTCTATAAGCCGCACTCAGTCTGTAGGGTTGTTGCTTTGTCAGTGACGTGCGCTGCTCTGCTGTCAGCGGCTGACATTAAGCTCTTGCTGCAGCTCGTCAGCCTGGTCAGACTGGATGTGTAAACCACCGCCTCGTGCTCCTCGCTGACTAAAAGAGAAGCCTAATCTGAGAGCTCCGAGACCCCCCCAACCCCTCACACCCCCCCATTCACCATGGTGGGACCTGCACAGGGGAGGAGCAGCAGCCAAATTACTATGCAGCATATGCCTCCTTATGCTCTCTATGGCTGCTCTTTGCGTGAGAGTGTATGGGGCGGTGGGGCAGCTGGCATGCTGTTTGTCATGCATGAATATGAAATATGCAGAGAAGAGAAATGAATCAAACATCGCCTCGTCCTTTAGCACATTTTAATGTTGCTTCTCGCTGAGTAGTTTCAACTTCTTATTCTTTTTTATTTTTCTTCGAAAACCATATATCTGTTGGAGAGCTGGCAGAGCTCTTTCATCATTTTTCATCATCCACAGAATAACGTGCTGGACTTTTGACCCTCGTATTGTGCTGAATATTTTATACCGTATAGTTCTTTTTCTCCTCGGCGTGTGAGAGATTAATTCTGGTTTCTCCTCAGGGTGTTCATCTTGGAGGACGGGAGCCTGGAGATCCTCAACGTGACGCGAGCAGATGAAGGCAGGTACACCTGTTTCGCTGAGAACGACCGGGGCAAGGCCAACAGCACGGGCGCTCTGCTGGTTACAGGCAAGTTCCAGATAATGAACAACTCTTAATTAATAGCTCTTTTGAAGGCTTTTAAAAAAAGCTCTCCTTCTGGACGGACTGGTGTTGCTCTGACTGATATCGGCCTTGCCTGGCAATCATTCCTGTCCCGACCTCCAAATGTCTGTTGTTGAATTATGTTGCTCCGATCGGAGTGACAGTATACAGGCTACTGGTGGATATTTAGTCGTTCCCCAAGGGCAGAGGCGAGGGGAGGGGATCGCTTTAGATCAGATGTGATGAGACAAGGACTCAGACTTCACTCTGCTCGGTGAAAAATGAGATCAGAAGCTGAGTTATGAATCCTGTTGACATAGTTTTATTGAAAGTAAAAATGATAACACTGGCTGCGGGTTCTTTCTTTTTTTCGTTTTTTAGACGCATACAATCTCAGCTGTCAAACATTTTTAGGGGTTTTACAGTTGATGACTGGATAGAGATGGAGGCACAGCTCTTTTCTGCCCTCTTCTGGGCATTTGTATGTATTGAGTAGGAATATAAATTTTATAGCACATACTTTACCAATCTGGTTGCCCATTCATTGATCTGTCGTCACTGGCATGTTGATCTCTGAATGCTGCTGCTGATTGTGTCTTTGTTTTTAGTGATTGGTAGAAATGGTCCTTATGGGATAAATAAAGTTATTTGAATTTCATAGATCTCTCCACTAAATGACTGCCTAAAGTTATTTTTTTCATTTGAGCTGTTTTCCTGTAGCTTCTCTTTGTATTACTTTTTTTTTTTAAAGTTGGATTTATTTCTTTTGGAAGGTGCTATGAATTGTTTTTTTTACATTCTTTTACCCCTTCGTCCCCCTTTTGAGAATCAATAGAACATGTCTATTGAAGTAAAAAAAAATCAATATGAATGAATGAATGAAAATCCCAAAAATAATACAATAACAAAAAAATATAGACATTTAAATGAAATAATTATATGATAATATAAGTTTTATAATTAATAATAATATTTCCAAAAAATGAAAATATCACTTGGAAAACTGAAGAAAAGAAATTTATTGAAGCACAATGTTAAATCAATGACAACATCAGATAACAAACAATGAGACAGCAAATGATTTAAACAAACTGACACGTATGAAAAGAAACGACAGAGCAAACCTTGAGTGTCTCATTTGTCCTGTAACATCTTTAATTTAGCAATTTAATCAACCCTCGTAGCCCAAACACACTCAAACTCTCCACATGAACTTGACTTTTCTCCAGCTGTTAGAAAATCATGAGCTCTTTGAGTCACAGAGCGGCTTTGGGGACAAACGGTGACTTCCAGTCATTCCAATAAGGATGCAAAGGCAATGCTACCCGAGGATTCCCTCCTTATTGTCTGATGTTCTGGTAATGGTGTCAGCACGCTGTTTAAAGCCTCTGCTAGGTGTTTCAAAATAGAAGTCCACCAACCATGTACAGGACTGAACCACGTGTGTTTCTCCCTCATCATCACTGATCTCCTCATCCTCCTCCTTTTTTTCCTCAGAGTCCACAAAAATCACCTTGGCGCCTTCCAACGCTGACGTGATAGTGGGTGAGAACACCGTGATGCAGTGCACCGCGTTGCACGACTCCTCTCTGGACATCACCTTCATCTGGTCGCTGGACGACCACATCATCGACCTGCACAAGGAGAGCCAACACTATGAACGCACGCCGGTAAGACGTCATAACAGTCCGTTAAGAATAATCATTTAATGCAGTACCCCCCTCTTTTCCCCTCAATGTCGCCGCTCTCGCCCGGAGCTCATCCACGTTAAGTCATATTTGAGGTTTTGGTTGATGTCGGAAAAGGAAAAGTATGTCCTCCTGTCAATGGATATATTTCTAAAAGCCAATTTCACATTCCTCCTCTGAGTGGATTGTATATCAGTTTAATAACCAATTTCCTCTAACATCCATTATTGTTGACGTGACCTGCTCTCTCTCTCTCTGCAGCTCTGACCATAAACCGGTGGTTAGCATTTCTTATTTGTCACTCTGCCCACTCTGCAAACACCATATTATGATTATGATTGATGATCCCCCTGTTTTTGTTCACAAGGACTTTCCTCCTTTAAAAACGGGGTCCACTTCCACTTAATATTCTTTTTATGGTATAAGCAAAACCAGTTCGAGCCTCAAATGGGGAGATGAATGCCATCATGTAATAAAGTAGGTTTTTACCTTTTCTTCAGTGGGAGTGCTGTCTAGAGCAAACACTGTGTGTGCGGAGACATTTCTTCACAGAAAAAGAGATGATAGCCCTTTAGCTGCAGCTCATATCCAGCTCCCTCTAATTGTCTGCTTAAGGTTGATGTCTCCACCTCTCTGATGTTGCAGGTGTCTGAAATGATAATGTCCTTTTCCATATTTCAAGATGAGTTTCAGGCTGAGTGAGAAAAATATTCCCACATGATTATTCCCGCTTTTAAGGCACAAAGTAGAAGCACCATTAGATCTATCCTTGCCTGCTTAATTGACTGTTGAATATTTTCTTGTTTTATGCAGAACGGGAGTTCGAACGGTGAGCTGCTGATTAAAAACGCCCAGCTGAAGCACGCTGGACGATACAGCTGCACTGCGCAGACCCCTGTCGACAACATTACCGCCTCTGCCCACCTGGTTGTCAGGGGTGAGTCATGATTGGTGCAATTCTATAAATATTCATATCCAACCAAATGCACATGAAAACATATTTCCTCAGTCTAACCTGAAGCAGTGGGGTCCTACATTAACTCATGATTTTCTGCAGGAATTAAAAAAAACTTTTTGGTTATTTTATGTTGGAGTTTTCTCTATTTTGCTTTTTTCTCACCCAATGAAGCAGAGTTTAGGTGCCAACCTGGGAAATGATCCCTCAGGATATTTAGATCTGCTTCTTTTACATTGTTCTTTATTCATGGGGTAGCTACTCTGGTTAGCAATGTTGCCTCACACAAGAAGGTTTGAATCCCAGTTTGGCCAGGGCCTGTCTGTGTGGACAGCCTGTCAGACCTGGTCTTAATAACTCAGACCACATAAGAAGGGGGGGGGGGTCTTGGATGTATGTGATCGCAGTATTTTCGCTGTGTAAATGCAAATCCGTTTTGGGTCACATATGAAGGACCATGTACTGACTTCCACTGACCCCTGATGCTTTTCATCGTGCATATATTGATTTGTTTGTGGCCGCTGCTACGGTGACATCGGAAAACTTCTGTTAACTCAGACTGGATAAAAAAAACATAATTTGGTCTTTGTCAACAGAAATAACGTACGTGATTATTTGGAGGAGGAGTGGTCACAATTTAATGTTCCAGAGATATACTTTATAGATTTGAGGCCAAGTTTCCGGGGTGAAACACATGACACATGACTTTTAAATAATTCCATGGTGCGTCAGACAAATATTCCAGAATTACTCATTAAAATCTTCTCCAGCTGTTATCATCAGATCATTATATGCAGCTGGAAACTGCATTTGTTTGTGTGTGTGTGTGTGTGTGTGTGTGTGCGTGTGTGTGCGTGCATGTGTGTGTGTGAAAAAAAGTGAGAGAGAGCAACAGCACAAATACTGTACATTCGACAGCTCATGTTTGAAGAGGAGTAAATCTCTCCAGAGGAACCAGGCCGTGGCCTGTTTTGTTGGATAATCTGTCATCACATGAGGGAAATAGAGAGAAAGAGAGAGAGAGAAAAGAGAAAGGTCCAGAAAAGCTATGGAGGGGAATATCTTGTGTCTTTGTGCAGGAGCCAGAGACTCAGAGAAGACTAACTATCTCCCGCTATGATAAGGTCAGACTTTCTTTTCAGGCTGTCTGTATCTTATCATTTTACACACCAATAACAGCTTCTACAGCCTTCTGCTTGTGCCTGGCCTTTTTGGAACATTGCAAATTATCTAATTTTTGTCATAAACTTGTGTCAGTGAAGCAGCTCTAAAAATAAACGGAAAAAGTTTTTGCATTATATTTTTTCTATGTGAGCTGATAACAAGCTGCTGCTGCTGCTTTGTTAGATACAGTTGTAGACTTTATTATACTCAACAGAACAAGCAAAGCTGCTGTGCCATAGAGAAGTGTCCGCTTCTATTCATCTTCATTATAACTCAACAACACAACACCTTTTTATAGAGTACAGCGTTTACAGGCAAACAGAGGCTTTGGTCCTCCTGCAGTGTCTGGGGGTTTGATTCCGACCCGGCCCTTTGCTGTGAGACTTCCATGCTCTCTCCTCCCATTTCGTGTTTACTGTCCTTGTGCACAAAAAAGTTTCTTACAGCGAAGTGTTTGCAAAAGTGCAAACATGTCTAACTTCGTTCAGTGCAGAATGATTTTTCATTGTCATTTTCTGTCAACCACACTAGAAAAGACGACAAAGAAATGACCGTTTTTCATGGCACAGTTCAACCCATCATCAATAAAAGCAAAAATGCCCCCACCCCCCTAAAAAGAAAAAGATAAATAGTGTGCATTTTATGTGTTGGTACATGTGTCATGCATTGCAATGAGTCTTTGCTGATGTGTGGGACATATCTCTCAGCACAATATTTTGAAAGGGAGTGCTGTTGATTTCAGCTACATACAGATATCATCACGCACCAAATCAACACTGCCACACGTCTGCAGTGCTCTGTCTGACATTTCCCCTCCTTGGTGATTCATCTGGCTTTGTCACCCCACCCCTCCGACTCCTGATGACTGAGTGCTTGCCTTACAGCCCTCCCCTCGCTCCTCGAAACAGGCCCGGTGTTGGCAGACATATAGGAACCCAAGAAGCGTAGCGGTGATCTGGTTCGCCAGTGATCCTGGGTGTGCTGCCTATGCTGCCCCTGCTTTCAGAAGCAGGTGCTGACAGATGGCCAGGTGAAGGCGCAGTGGCCAACTCTGTGATGTGTCTCCCCGCCTGAGGGGAACCAAAAACACAGGAGGACCATGGGCCGCTCCCAATGAAGAGCCAAGTGCCAGCAGTCCACAGCGCAGAGAGGGAGGGATGAAAGATGGCTATTTATCAGAGCAGATGAGGAAGCAGATCGGCTTCAGGAGATCGTCCGAGCTAAAAACACAGCTCTGCACCTGTAGCTTGTTATTAGAAGGGATTTGTGATAGAGAGAGGTTTCTTCCCCCATATGTTCTGGAGCATAATGTTTCAGTCCTGCCTGAACAGTGTTGAAATATGGCCGTGTTAACTTAAGTGCCTGTGAGTCAGGATGACTTTTCATTAACTTTAAACAAATTTGATTGCTTTTGATTTTCACTGACTTTCTATCTGTGTAATTTTAATAATTTGATTTAAATATCTTATACATGTATGTAGGTGAGAGAAGAGGAATCCCACACACTGTCCTGACCTTTATGAAGGCCCACGGGACCGAAACATTGTACACTTGACAGTTCTGTACTTTTTCTCCTACACTCCCATCCACTGTATTTTTGAAGGTGCGCATTGGCCTTTTCAGTTTTGTTTATATATGTGCAATACCGCACAATTTAAATTTATTTTACATTGTGCATATTTCTATCTTTTACAATTCCTTGTGTGCATATTGTATTTTTTACGGAATGATTACCTTTACTGAGTGTTTCTTTCACTATTCCCTTTTTGCTGCTGTTTATCTTGTCTGTTATAATCTTATCGTATCTTGTCTAGTTGTGTCTTGTCTTAAACAACCTTAAACAGGAGTGCTAAGAATTCACCCAGACAAAGTTTTGTACAGACATACAGAATCAGCACAATATTTAATCCCTTTTGTTGAATCGTATTAAAAACTTGATTTTTCACAAGTTGCTCTGCTTTACCCTGCAACTCTTAAAGGAGAAGGGAAGCTTAAGGCCTGTCCAGCTTTGGTTGTCTAATCGCCTTATTTGTCTCATATTCGTGGCTCGGAAAAAATAATCTTGGCTGATTTGTGGGGCTGTGGGTTGGGAGGCTCCACCCGACACAGTCTGGGTTTTCTATTAGACCATTTTATGTTCCAGAGGAAGAATCGAGAGGAGCAGGGGAGAGACCAAGCAAGACACGCTGGATTCAAAAGATCTCGCTTAAGCTTCAGTTTATATATGTTAGCGGGGTCTGAGCTCTAATGCTTTAATCCATCATCTTTGCTGACGTCTGTTAAAGAAGACTGTAATAAGACCAAGTGTAAAAGCTTTGATGTATTTCATATGCATCATCTTGGAGGCTGGTGTTGAATTAAAAAGTTCAGCTCTGGACTTTGGACATTAATTCCCTTATGAGCTTAAGTAAAGGTCTTTCATAAAAACTGTCTTTCTCTATAATTTGTGCGAGTAGTGTGTTTGCAGTTTCCCATCAAACTCCTTATTCAATCCTGCAGCCACACTAGAGTTCATTGCCGATCACATAACACAAACTCGTCTCTTTCCTTTACCTTAGGTCCCCCAGGGGCCCCAGGTGGGTTGCGAGTGGTGAACAAAACCGACAATAACGTGATGCTGCAGTGGAGCCGAGGAGCAGACAACCACAGCCCCATCTCCAAATACACCATCCAGTACAGGGATTCCCTCCAGAACGACGTCTGGAGGAACGCCACTACATGTGAGAACTTTTTATATAGTAAAATAAACACTGGTGCCTTAAAGCTGAGCTGACAAAGTGATGCTGCGGACCTCCATGGTGGTTAATGTCTCTTAAAATCATGATTTACAGACGCTTCAAGGACATAGACATAGGAGTAGGTTCCAAAAGTGGCACTTAATTATTGATTTAAAGTATTTTGGCAGAACAACACCTGCTGTATATGTTTGAACATATACAGAACATGTTCAAGCGTCCTGTAACCCTGACATTTTGGCACTGTAAAATTAAATCGTGCATCTCACTGTAGCTCCTGCAGATGTAGAGGGGAACACAGAGACAGCTACCGTGGTGGATTTGCTCCCCTGGACCGAATATGACTTCAGGGTGATTGCCACCAACACCCTGGGGACAGGAGATCCGAGCAGCCCGTCGCCCAAAGAAACAACCCTGCAATCAGGTAAGACTGCGTCCCGACTCAAGTCGAGTACGGTACACAAGATTTGTGGGAGTAACTTAAAGGTCACAGAAACGTGGTACCACAGTCCAGCTTTCCATTCTAATATTTACTCGCCATCATTCTATTATAGCAGTGTTTACTTATTTTACGTCGTGCTGTAGGAATGAGTCAGCAGAAAAGCCACCGTGCTGCACTTCCTACAGCACCAGCGTCCTGCCAAACTCACCACACAAACCTCTACAAATGAGCACTTTGTTGAAACTGTATACTGATATTCAATTATAAAATGGAAATCACAGGCCTACAGTAACCTCTCTTAAAAAATAATCATCATTGGAGAGTGAGCTTCGAGACTCGAGGCAAAACAAAAAAGAAGCTTAGCCTCTCCGTCCCCCCTCGGTGGCAACGTTCCCACATGGACGTTAAGGTGTTGCGTTTGGCACGGGGGGAAGACATTGATATTGTGTTTGCGGAGGAAGGATGTTTCAGTAGCGCTGTCAGGGATAGATTACAGCCTGTGTGGGTTGGCGTTGCTTGTGTGGATTCTCAGCATGTGGCCTGAGGGTTTTGCTCTTGCTGTGTCATTGTAGTTCCTGTGGTGGCGCCCTCGGACATCGGCGGGGGTGGAGGGACCAGCAGAGAGTTGACCATCACATGGACGGTAGGTCTGGACTTCCCACAGGGCACTGGGGTAAAAAGGTTATGGAAAAGTACAGTGCTGCTGCAACACGCTCAACCAAATTAAGTTACCAGAGGAAAACATTTTTCAAACTGCAGTAATGATGATTGATAGTATTGCTGTTCTTTTAAAAAAAGAAACTATTACACACACTCATAGATATCAATTCCCTAAAGGTGTGAGATTGTTTTCATCAAGATCCCTGAATTATTCCCTGGGAAGGTTAAAGAAAGTGACGAAAAAGAAAATCCTGTATCTGCTCTCTGATCTGGATTCATACCAAAATTTAATGGATTCTTTTCTGACCCATATCACATCCTTCCACTAAGTTTTTTAGTAATCCATTCTGTAGTTTTTATGTAATCTTGCTTATAAACAACCCAACAAACAAGCAGGCGTGAAAAAGTAATGGTCTTGCCAGAGGTAACAATGAAGAAGACAAAATTACAAGCATCTATTCAATTCAATCCAAAATGATTTGTATAGCGCCACAGCACAACATACATTATCTCAAGGCACTTTACATAGTGAGGTCAAGTCTACACCAAAGACAAGTGGGGAGGGTGAGAGAGAAGTGTGAATGAATGGTACATTCTTCCTGAATCAACTTGATTGATTTACAACTGGAAAAGTTTTGCAACATTTAATCTAAGCACCCAAATGAAAGAGCCGTAAGTTGGACAATGCAAATAAACAGTAGAGCAGGAAATTGTTAAAAAAATTAATATAACAAATCAAAGCTATGATGCTTTCAATACAGATTTACAGGAAGCCAAAGATTTCTGTTGCAGCTCTGTACATCAACAGATTAGAGACGGGGCAGACAACTGTCAAACCACACGGAGCACGCAGAGGAAATGAAGAATGAGTGTCGGATAAAACAAAACAATCACTATCAACAAACATCAGTAAGTGGACTGAAATGTTATCCTGCACTCTCCTGCTGCAGCCGCTGATAAATAAGCTCTCATGGCTAAATTGCCTTTTGCCTGGCTGCGGCGGACGTTCGATTCCAGAGCAGCTGGAGGATAAGGCAGGCGATGTGTTCAGGGGTTAGTGATGCCTAATGCAGGCACGTTTTGTAGACATGTGGTGCTATGATGAAACAAGAGTGCCAGCAGAGGAAATGAGGCAGAAGGAGACATTGGGAGGGACGAGCCAGCAAAGTGTCACAACTCTGTGTTTATAAATCACAGAATGCAGTGATTTTACTTTGCTGGAGTTGGCCTCTTTGAGTTCTGCTGTTAATTATAGCACAAGCATAAGCGGTTGATGTACTGAGGTGAAATCTGACAGGATCGACGTAGTAATCGCAGAAACGTCTGTTTGTCTGTATGCGGAACTCATATCCTGAGAACCGTTCATCTTATCGCCTTCACACTTGACATGTGTGTTCTTAACAGCCCAAGGAAGTGCAGTGTTGGATTTGGTGTGTTTTGGGCTCGCGATGAAAAAACGCCTTGCAGTTAGTGGGGGCGGGGCTTAACAGGCAGTCTGCCGACCATCAAACATGTTTTCTTCTACGTACTTAAAAAAAGTACCACCCAGTCCTACCCGATCATTTGGACCATTTTTATTTCAACGTATCGGACTGACACAGACATTCAGGGTTGTCGCAGGTGCTGATCGCTGTCATGTCAACATCTTTGTAGAATCACTTCCTCTGTAGCAAGTTGTCTTCAAAGTAGAATAACCAGGGTTTTACTTTTTAAATGTTGTGAACTTGGGTCAGAAAATGATCGATTGTTTATCAGACCTTTGAAAAAGCTGAGTTGAGTAAATCATTCAAACTTATATATAGAAACCAGACCTGAACAGTAATAAAGCAAATTCAGTTTTATTAAAAACATTGATAATTTAAGTGCAAAAAAACATAATCTGGATGATCATAGGTTGCTTTTACAGATTCAGAAAGAAAGCTGCAACTAGCATCACCACAGGCCAAGAAAACAGCCTTCTCCAAACAGGCAGGTTCACAACAGGCAGTGCACTAAGAGTTCCAGGATTGAGAGTTGTGTTTGATAAAAAATGTGCTGTAATTTGTGATGTTTTCCTTTTCTCATCAGCCGGTCCAGCCACAGTACTACTATGGCCCAAACTTTGGCTACATCGTGGCCTTCAAACCTCACGATCAAAATGAGTGGAGGAGGGTGATAGTGTCCGACGCCCAGGCCAGCCGCTACGTCCACAAAGACTTGTCCATCGTCCCTATGACCAAGTTCCAAGTCAAAGTCAAAGGGTTCAACAGTGAAGGAGAGGGACCCTACAGCCTCACAGCCATCATTTACTCTGCGCAGGATGGTAAGCAGCTCCTTCCCCGACACTGAAGCGCAGCGTGCCAAAATCATCCCACAACACTGTCACAGATCAGCCCGATCCTGTTTGTCCTCAGTATCTTGCAGAGAATGGATGAATTCTTCAGTATGCCAACACTCTGCTATTTCAATCTGTCAGTGTCAGCTACTTATCACCACCGGGGTTTTCAATGGGAGTAGGAGCCATTTAATAGCAGCTCTTGTGTATAGTTGTGAGGAATTTTAATACCCCCTTGAAAAGTGAACCCATCTTATCCTCTTTCTCTTTCCTTGCGGGGGGATTATCAAGATCTATGTAGCATGAACCAGAAAGCTGATAATTCGCCCAAGGATGCAAAGCATTTAGCCTATTTATTAACTTCCACTGACAGACAGTTAAGATAACCACTGGCACCCCAGACGTGATGGCCTATGCCCCGTTGCCATGGTATCGCACTCTGGGAACGCTTGCCATTGAGCGTGTATGATTCTGAAGCTAAGCCTGCAAAGCATGCGTGTGTTTAATTTGTGTGCATGCTTGTTTGTGTATTTCTGCTCAGTGCGACGATCTGACTTTCAAGGACAGTTTCACACAGTGTGTAACCGGCCAATTATTCACGGAATAGTGCACGATGGCCTAGTGAGGGAATGTGAGCCAAGATGGATTTCTCTCACTTCACTTGTTCTTTACTGTCATTAATTCACGTTACATAAAAGGATGCATAAGTACCACTGACTGAAAAATGACATTCATAAAGCCAGTAGACACAAAGCAGGAAGTGCTAGATCGTTTATGGTCAGAGTAATGGATCCATTAGTTTGTGTGGTACACAGGTCGATATCTTACTAAACATATTCATACATATAAAATATGCTGCGCTTGAGTTTTATCTTTGCAATGCAAGATGAAGGGCAAGTCCTTGAAGTGCTCTCTCTGTAAATAACCTATTAATCACACTGTATTCTGTCTCCTCAGCTCCATCTGAGGCTCCTGTGAGCGTCGACAGCAGAGCTCTCTCTGCCACAGAAGCCATTGTGTCGTGGCTGCCGCTCTTACAAAGCAATATAGATGGATACCAGGTCAGCATAGTTGTACTTGTGCATGCAGGGGGAAACAAATGTGAAAGACGGACCAGAGCCGTTTTCAGACATGTATTCCAGATAATGTCCTGACAATTGGGTGCTGACATTTTCTGGAGTTTGCCCATTCACATATGAAGAACCTAGCAGGAGATTGTTCTTGTGAGGTGTGGCACCAGCGTAGAACATGCAGGAGGCAGGACATGACGTATTATATTAACATGTCCACTCCGAACTTAATGCGACTTTTTTCTTGGACATTTGCTAACTCTCATACAGCCCCACTGGACAATATCAGGAGAGAATCTGGAGTTCAGTGCATGTCTGAAAGCAGCTTATGGCTCAAGCTGTGGAGCATCTAAAGATTTGTTATTGTATCGTTAACTGGGTACCTCCCAGCTTCTATATCTTGCTTTTTTTCATTTTAAGTTTTTCTCATTTACTTGCACTTTGCTTGTCATTACATTTTACCTTTCTCCAATACTCTACTATGATCAGTTCTTCTGACACTATCCTGCCCACCTCACCTCTGTCCTTGTATGTGCCAGGTGAAGTACTGGAGGAATCAGGAAGACGGCGAGGGTGGGGCACAGAGGGTGGTGGTGTCCAGCAAGGAGAACCACACCAGGTTGGAGGGTATGAAGCCCGACTCCATTTACCTCATTGAGGTCAGGAGCTACAACTCTGCAGGATACGGGCCGCCCAGCGAACACATCCAGATCCACACCAAGAAATCCCGTATGTTCTGCCTTTCTAGTATTAAACAGCAACATCTGCATTGAACACAACATTGTACTGCATGTGAGTTGCTTGCTCTTCATTGTTGTTCTTGTGTCTTTTACCAGCTCCAAGTCGACCCCCAAAAATAATAGCTAAAAAGTTAAAGGGCCAGTCTGTAAATATTGCCTGGGAACACGTTGAACCGCTGGATAACGAGGCACCGATAGATGGCTACAAAGTGAGTATGGCTCAACATCTACTTTATTACAGATGATAATATCTCTGAAGTGAAACATCAGCTGCTGGGAACCTAACATTCTTATATCTTATCTGTGTATGTATAAATCTAGGTGCTGTACAGGCAGCAGGGTCACTCCACAGGCACCCTGTACACAACAAGTAGGCGGTACATAGATCTTCCCCTGCCTGCAGATGGGAACTATGTGGTGGAGGTCCGGGCGCACACAGAAGGAGGAGACGGGGCCGTGGCACGAATCCACATCACAGGTAACGGAGACAGACCTCAGTGTTAACTTGGACAAATAAATCAGGCCTGTTAAGGGGACTGATATTTATGAATGGTGCAGTTCAAGATAAAAATCCCATCAAGTGACTGTTTAATTACTGCCATTCTAGTTTCTAAGAATGATTCTCTCTGTCCTTTCATTGGTATTTTCTGCTTAATGGACACTTAAATAAGTGACAGAGTAATAAAATATTATACCACCTTCACAGAGGTTTAGTTTCACATCAGTGGAATAAAAATGAGGAAAGCCCTTGGTTATGAAATCGCATTTTAAATCCAAGGCGCTGAGGTATCACGCTGAGACGGTTCAATCCTGGCCTGTCGTTTGCCAGTGGGATTAGACCAGATTCAGAGTTGGTGGTAGGTTATCATTTGTCACAGTTAGAGGGTTCCCATGGGCCAGAGCGGAGCTGTCACTTCAAGTTTCATACCTTAAACTGGAGGGCTAAGATGGGAAACTTAACAGTTTGTGACCAAAGCCTCGATTGCCCAGTGATCCTCACACTGGCCGATGGCCTGATTGTAGGCTGACTGGATAGAAGAGGCCTTAAGCTCCTGTAATTGATCTTGATGAGCAGAGGAAAACCCCCTCCGCTGCTTTTCCATATCCCTTATCGTTCAGTCCAGACCCAACCTGACAGCTTGATTTCACAGACCTGGGAGTTTAAGCTGTGGAGGATTTCAGATGCTGGGGGGAGGGTGGGGGGGGAGTTATGGTGAACTCCACACAGATGGGATATCATTTCAAACACACGCCATATATGGTCTATAGATAGTGAGAGTTGGACATACAAGGAAGGAAGCTTCTTCCCCTCAAATCAGTATAGGCTTTATTGACCAACCATTAGTTGTGTGTGGAGCGATACTCAAATATCAATACTTCTCTTATTAAAAGATTGATATCTAAATTTGCACAAAGTATGTCTACCGGCAATACCACCCCTGGTTTTACTTGGTATTGGTTAAGAAAAGAAAAGTTGAATCGCACATCACAACCAAGTACAGTATTAATAATTGGACTCCAATTTAACACAGCTCTCATTGTGCTTATACATAAATAAACACACAGCTAGGAATAAGGTCAACAAAAACAGACATATAGGTTATAAGTCATACGAAAGGGGGCATATACAGTATTTGACTGTTCGGTTAACATTCTGTGTCTCTGTGTGCCTCTCAGGTGGGGGTGTGATGGCTGCCCAGTCTCTCAGCTTACTTTCCCTGCTCCTGGCAGCTCTCCTCTGCCTGAACCTCTGAATGTAGCGCCATCTTTGTCTTCACTCCTTGTGAAGAAGACTCTTTAAGGTAGACGCCTGTTAAGGACTTTGGGATTTTCCACATTCTCTCGGTTCCACCCTACAACCCTGGACGTCGTATATTCCAACTCTTCCCCTCTGGAATTTGTTTGCGGGAAAAGACAGAAATGGAAAAAAATTGGAAATGGACAAAGACATCCCTTATTTATCCACAAAAAAACACCTCTTTGGAGGAGCGTCAAAAGGAGTTCTGTCTACTTTTTAAATATGCCTTATATAAACGACTGCACTTATCTTTCACAGTGACCTGTTTTTAAATGGATAGTGGTTGAATATGTGAACATTACATTTTACACAGGTTGGTAGTTTCATGTCTGTAACATGTTCTAGTCCATCCTACAGTGCATTCCACAGTTAAAGTAAACAAGTAGCTGTGAAGGATAAGTGAATACGTTTATAAAACTGTCTTTGTCTTTCTTTACTTGCAGTTCAGTGGCATTTTCTTATGTTTTCTTTTCTAAATGAAGCACATATACTCTCTTACAGAGATACAGTCAAAGCAAATCTCAGCCTTTTACATACTTGATTTTATAACAAGCATCATAGAGAAGAGCTATTCATGTCATGCTGAAATAATATATCCAATAATTGATATTGTTTTGCTATCTAATATACTATGGATGTATTGCAGAGACATAGATTGGTTTGACCTGGAATCAGTGCTTATTCACAAATCACAACATGAACTCTAGACCATATTCACACAGCAGCCATTTTCCTCTGAAGTCATGCTCGGGGTGGGAAGCTCAAATGCTGTTGAAACAAAATAATGTTGTGTTGCTGTGCTCCGTGTTGAAAACTCATATAAGAGAGAATCTGACAAACTATTTTCATTTCTCTACCGATTGTCTTTTCAGTTGCTGATCAGTTAGGAAGCAGTGAAATGAAAACAGTTTGTCAGATTCTCTGTGTTTATGTGACTTATAAACCTGGATCACTGCAACACAACATTATTCTGTTCATAACAGGATTAGCCCTTTCCAGACGAATCGTGCCGCCAGAGGAAACTGGCTGCTATGTGACCATGGTTTATTAAACCACTTTAAAGTTGTGTGCATGTTGACATTGTGACATGAAAATGTGTTGGGGAGTGTTAAAACTGAATGTAAAGAAATCCACGGGACCAAGTGAACATATCAAACATATGGAACACTTTGTTATTGTGACTGCTGATCTACCACCTGTAGTTATACTTGTACATCTGTGCAGCGATCAGCGCCTCAACATCTGGGTCAATGTCGTAACCGATGCTTCAAAAAAACAGCTAAATTAGAAGTACTTTTGTTTTGACTGTATCACGAGGACCACAGTGGTAGAAGCTGGTGCTTTGTAAAGAATGTTGGCTTTTTTCTTATTACATTTTCATTTCGTCTCTAATGTATGGCTTCGTGTGAGAGTCACTATTAACAGCTACAGTGAAGAGTAGCGACGCTCATGCCCTCCAGTAATTGTGCAATGTCTGATTCATGTGGCTGACTTTATATATTTTCCAATATGACAACTTGCCTAGCTCCTTTAAAAGTAAATGTACTATATTTAATCTTTTCATTATCTTGTTTTAACAGAAGGTATAAGCAAAGGCATCCATGTCGGCGGAAAGAGCCAAAGGTCATGACATTGTTTTCGCTCCATTATTTGTAACTTTTTTTTAACAAAGAAATTTATGAACATTATCAGCTGTTGTCATTTTTTTGTTCATGATTAATATATGTGTATGTCTTCAAAGTTTAAATGTTAATTTCCCTCAACGACAAATGCTGCGTATTGAATTCCTGCGATTCACGTGTTGTGTGACTGATGCTGGCCATGCTTCTACATTGTGACTATATCAACATCCACCACAAAGTGCTTTTGCCGGTCATTTCCTTCATGCAACAAATCAAAACAAAAGAAGAGTTGCCAAATGCATGAATGCCGAGAACCTTGACTGACATTTTGGTCGAGGCGGCGACTCTACGCTCTAACATGCATGACATTGCAGATGAAGTGTACATTACTTTGCAACAAATCGACACCATAGCGACTTCTCAACCTCTGTGCTTCATCTGAAATACATTCCACTACTGAGTGACATCGCTGTATGTCAGAGACAGTAGAGATCTAAGCCTGACACGGGCTTCACTCATCTCATGTGACGTTTTAGGGTGAGTTTTAAAGAGAAAAATCGAACTGAAGGAATCTCACTCGTAAAAGCTCAGACATGGTCTCTTGCACACGATGGTTGATGTTTGATGGCATCACTGGAGGCAGTGGCAGCGTGTTTGGCTGTTCAGTGCTCCACTGGACATGAACGGTACATGTGAGGGCTGAAACTGGAACTTCTCATTGGCTGGATAAAGAACAATAAAATTGTAGTTAACTATTTAATTGTTCTGTTTTTTTTCCCTTAGTTTCACAGTGAATTTTCTGACACGTGAGTCTTGGGGAATACTCTAAGTTTATTGAAAGTCTCAAGGAGAGTGCAGCTGACTCTGTGAATCTGAGAGCACTTTGGGCTGAATACTGTTTTTTGCAGTTAAGATTCTTTACTTCAGTCACCACAGTATAAGGGTACTCATTATGCAACCCAAAGATAGACTAATGTATTAACTTTCTTACAAGCTGCACACAGTACGCTGGAGTTACTTTCTCAAATACTGTTTGAAAGTTTGTTCTGTATTGCATCATATTTTGTAAGCTCCTTAAATACTTTAAATATAAAATATTCAACAGCATAACATCATATTTCAGATAACTGTTGCAGGCTTAAAAAGTATATATTCATATTAATTGCATTATTATTAATAGCCTTTTTTAGAATATATTTGCAACATGATGATTTGCACCAACAGGAAGAGAAGCACAGTTTTCATAGAACAGTAACATTAATATTCAGTTCAAATGGAGCTTTTAAACAGCTTCTCATCCAGGTTCAAAAGTCACTCTCAACTTTGGAAACTGTAGATGACAAACAAATCTCACCACAATGGCCATGTAGTAGATAAACTGAAGTGTTCAGTTTATTGGCAGGTGGCAACCAACGTCAAGGTGCATTACCTGCACTTATCTACTGTGTCCTCTTCTTCTTCTTCTTCTTCAAACATCCTCCTCCTGCCTGGCCACCAACTTCAATTAGCCAAACGAAGAAGAAGAAGATATGCATTGCACCTTTCAAAAAACTGCAAATAAAATAAGATGTAACCATATTGAGGAGTAGTGGTAAAAGAAAATAATACAATAATCAAAAGTAATAGTTAAAAAACAATCAAATAAAAGCCAATCAGTAAAAGTAAATTTTTGGGACTTGATCATGATCATCAGCGGAAAGTCGTCCATGACCAGAAAAGGACAAGTGATGTAGTGGACTGTGGGTCAGTGTGAGTTCACCAGTGGAGGTTCAGAAGAGATTCCACGAGCTCAGCCTGAAATACTGAATTTACTGTGAGATTAAAGCTGAGACCACAGCAGAATATTTCCCTCTACAGCACAATTATAGTTTGAACGCTACAAAGAAAATGTGTTGGAGTTATTAGCAGCGTTATCAAACTCAGACAGACCCTCCACTGGGATGTGGGATCGCTGCGGGTCTCAGGTGCTTTTTGCTCTGCGGGGGGATTTGAATAAAAATCACTTGTGTCCTTTCGCTGCTGTGGGATTAAAGTATCTTTTTACGCTCCTCGAACTTCAGCCTGGTTTTGTGTGAAATGTTCATAGCTGCGTTTCAACTCTCACATATCAAACAAGAGAAACTAGAGCATCACAGATGATTTATGAGCTCCTTCCATTATAAACTCAAGCGCCCTTGTTTTGCAGGAGAAAGCTATTCTTTACCGAAGCCAGAACCAAATGTATCAGAGATAGTGTTTCAATCTGTCCTCCATTACAGATAAGGCCGACTCTAGTCTAGTTTTTTCATGCTGAAACAGCTGTTGGAGTTTTGTCTTCTATCAGGTATCCAGCAGTCGAAGAAGTAGATTGATATCACTTCTCTTTCGTGGATTAGGTCAGGGGGAATAAATCAGATTTTAGCTTCTTATTGAGCTGTAGGTCACCTCTCTGTTTCACTCATGGGTCACAAGGGTTATTCACTGAGATCAGCTCACAGAGAGAACAAAAGGAGAGATATATTTTTCTTTTACCCCTGCTGAGATTTAGTTCTTGATTCAGGGGCTTATCAGTTCGAGCATATGGCCTGTGAGATAGGTCTGATCCCAGGTGGCTGTGTGTGTGACACTTCACACACTCACAATCCTGGTTACCTGCGCTGAAGCTTGCTTCACTCCCCCTCCTCATTTAAACCACATCCTCCAGACTTTAAACTCATTCACTTCTGAAATATAGTCATTTTATTAAACAGATTCAATCTAATATCACATTATAATGTAATACTAGAGGTAATATTTCATTTTATGTGATTGACAGGGTAAATTAATACATTCCTCTGACCTCCTTGTGCCTGTGTGTCTGCAGACAGGTGTGCAGTCCCGGGACAGATCGTCATATTGTCTTTGTAAATCTACACCTGTTCTCTGACAGCTCAGACAACACATAACATACTTGTAAAGTGGTGCACACAGCAGACTGCTTCGCTTGGAGACCTGAAACGAGACGCCCTCTCTGACATGCCTGCAATATGTCAAGCTGTGTCAGGCTGTAAGGCTGCGCTGGACTCACGCAGGAGGGCTTTATAAATGAAAGGTCTCCATGCAGATATTGTGTTACAGCTGCTGGCTTTAAGCATGTGAAAGAGCCACGACCCCTCGGGACGGGTTTCACTGACATGGCATCGCTGCAGAACCTGAGCAGAAAGTAAACTAAACTCATTTAATAGGGTTAGGACGAGGTAAAATAAAAAGCACACTGATAATGTCAATCACGATGTGGACTGTTAAAGTTTTTAACTGAGTCATTTCCATCTCAGCTTGAAGGATCTGTTTCCAAGTGAAGTGACGTGTGTGAGGATGAGAGACCTCTGCTGGAGAGGATCTATATCACACAGCATCTACCACAAACTGCACAAGTGGTGGAGGAAGTACTCAAACGTTTTATTGTTGTAAAAGTAAATAAATAGTAAACACAAATGTACTCAAGTGAAAGTATCACATGAACATTTCTACATGTTTAAAAGTAAGTAAGTACTTAAATATAGTTCAAGTTTTGAAAGTAAAAGTATATTTGTGTAATATTCTCTGATGCAATGTTCCACAACAAACAGTTGGATGGCAATTTATAGCTCATTCTGTTTCCTCCCCGGTGCTGCTGCAGTAATCTAAAGTTACCTGATAGTGTCAAGTGGAGCAATTGACTCGTTATTGATTACTTTTAAAGAATATATATATAAAAAACGTCTTGTGAACATGTCATACAATGCATTGTAAAAATGTACTTAAAGGTTCAGTGTGTAAGATTTAGGTGAACGAGAACTATTGGTAGAAATTAATATCACTAAATTCTACACACTGTACCTTTAAGTAGACTATAGATACATGGAAGTACAGTTACTATCATCTCACCACAGCACACAGCCAAAATAAACTAAAATAAAAAATCCACATTACATAGATGGTGCTAATCTAAATACAATACAACTTTATAAATACTTAAGGCAATTTGGTTTGATTTAATATTTTAAAAAAACCCTGCTCAACTGAATTAAAAGTACAATTTCTTTCAAACGGCTTTAAAATCAAATATTTATTATTTAATTTAATGAAATTAAAAAAAGAATGATTAAATAAAATAATTCATGTCAACATGTTAATGTATGAGGAGCAGAGACAGAGGTTTGATGACCCTGAGCACAGAGAGGAGGTGCAGCTCCTCAGCTCCTGACAGAGGACAAGAGGACAGAGAGGAGGTGCAGCTCCTCAGCTCTTGACAGAGGACAGAGAGGAGGTGCAGCTCCTCAGCTCCTGACAGAGGACAGAGAGGAGGTGCAGCTCCTCAGCTCCTGACAGGGGACAGAAAGAGGTGCAGGTCCTCAGCTCCTGACAGAGGACAGAGAGGAGGTGCAGCTCCCCAGCTCTTCACAGAGAGAGAGGAGGTGAAGCCCCTCAGCTCCTCACAGAGAGAGAGGAGGTACAGCCCTTCAGAGAGGGAGAGGAGGTGCAGCCCCTCAGCTCCTCAGAGAGAGAGAGGAGGTGCAGCCCCTCAGCTCCACCTGACCTGCGCAGACCGCACTAACTTTCCGTGCACTCACGCGTCCATGTGTTCAGACTTGTGCGGTAACTTTGCCCAAACTCTTCGGGCTGTGTAGGGACTTCCTCTGCGCCAACTATGTGCGTCGACTGCGCTGGAACAAAGTTTTGAAACAGGGCGGGATGGCGTCGCAGAGGAAGTCGGACACGGGTCACAGCGGTGCGGGTGTTTGTCAGCGGGGATGCGGGCTCCCTCTGCCCGCCGAGGACGCACTCAAAGCGGAGCACTGCTGCGTGGAGGCGCTCCGCTCGGTCACCGACGCGCTGGAGGAGAGGAGCGCCGCTCTGGAGCATGGAGCCCGGATGTCGAGGCTCAGGTGGAACAGGAGGGAGCAGCTCCTGCTGGCCCAGGTGTCCACGCTCCAGAACCAGGCTCAGCTCGCTGCTCTCCAGTACCAGCGCAGACTGCACCAGTACATGGTGCACATCAACAGCATCGCCCAGCAGATCGTTGGATACTGCAAGGTGAGGAGGATTCATTTGGATCGATTAGTTATAGTCCTGTGAGCTGCAGTGAGGGACACCTGCATGGAAACGTGTCCATCTCACTTCAAACAGACCTAACGCTGTCCTGTGTTCTTGGCTGATACAGAGTGATGTGGAGACAGCTGCTGACACACAGAACCACGGATCAGAGGAGTCAACACGTGCAGAGCCACAGGAGCAGGTCGAAGCACCTGAGGTAAGAGAAGCTCCTCACTGAATGCAGCTCCTGTGTGGACCTTCAGTCTGGAGGCCCACTGCTGCTGAGCATTGGTAGATAGACCCCTCTCATCATGAGAGACACAATAAGATAAAAACAAAAAGAGATGGCTACTGAATACTAGTGATCTCCCTGTGTGAGGCCTCTTCAGGAGTCAGGATGTTTTCAATCCATCCAGATGGACAGCTTTATTTCAAACAGAGGAAAATTATTAAAAGCTAAAAAAGGGTCTTTATTTGCTGATAATCATACACACACACACACACACACACACACACAGCACAAAGCATATGAAGGACTCCAATCAAATATCAACAGACTCCTAATAAGTGTCATAACATAAACAGGGGAAAAACCAACATGCTTATTTTGTCCTACCCCAACAAATGACTCCCATTATGAATGACCTCAATACAATGATTGTCCACAGAGTCCAACATACCCAGTAGAATCAGCTG